AGCATGATGCCATCATACCATTGATAGTTAACACCAATCCACACCAACAAAGTCAGGCTTTTATGATGAAATATGATTTGGAAACAGATTGCACATAGTTGATACCCTTTAGCGAGAACTGTATTCAAATGATTGACCTTGATGTAAAGTTATTTTAAGACCGCGTTACTAAAAACTTTAAGCGGGTGAAGCTGCAAGCATGAAATTAAATAAAAAATACCGACACATGCGAACAAAAGGGAGTACGACTTCGGCTCATAACAGAGCGCGGCTAATTTTTGAAACAGTACGATATTTATAATCGATTTGTGTAATCCTCTAAAAATATCAGCTTTAAATATACAGATCATCAAATATATCGAGCGTAGCGATATTTCATGGATACCACTACTTGTAATTGGTTAATGGCACCAGTTATTATTCTTTTTAAAGTTGTTTACAAATTACAATTTGGTACTCTTTTATAAAATTATTTTTTCTTTCTATTGTTGTACACATTCTATTCGGGAGGGGGGGGGGTGAATTTATCGGGGGACCCCCCTCCCCCTCTTTTTCCTGAAAGAAAAAGTGTGTGGCTGAGTAGATTGAGTTCAGAGACACACAAGGCAGTTGAGACACACAAGGGAGTTGAGACACACAAGGGAGTTGAGACACACAAGGGAGTTGAGACACACAAGGTAGTTGAGACACACAAGACAGTTGAGACACACAAGACAGTTGAGACACACAAGGGAGTTGAGACACACAAGGTAGTTGAGACACACAAGACAGTTGAGACACACAAGGGAGTTGAGACACTTAAGGCAGTTGAGACACACAAGGCTGTTGAGACACACAAGGCAGTTGAGACACACAAGGCAGTTGAGACACACAAGGCAGTTGAGACACACAAGGCAGTTGAGACACACAAGACAATTGACACACAAGGGAGTTGAGACACACAAGGTAGTTGAGACACACAAGACAGTTGAGACACACAAGGGAGTGGAGACACTCAAGGCAGTTGAGACACACAAGGCTGTTGAGACACACAAGGCAGGTGAGACTGTGTTCCGTCAACTCACACACAAGGCAGTTGAGACACACAAGGCAGTTGAGACACACAAGGCAGTTGAGACACACAAGGCAGTTGAGACACACAAGGCAGTTGAGACACACAAGGCAGTTGAGACACACAAGGCAGTTGAGACAAAAAAAGTCAGTGGCTCTGGGTTCACATGATTCTAAGGGCGCATTACCCATTAACTAGGCATATCTTGTTCTTGAGATAGTTCTCGGCAGAGTGCACTAATTCTTCTCGACTGGCCCCAGTGCCTACAAATTAGAATGCTTCAAACCAGACTACTCCACATAGCGAGTGACACTAAATACCAACCACACTCCCGGTGGACACTTTATAAGCGTTGAGTATGTCATAGATTAAGTAGAGTATGCACCCACTCCCTATATTCTAACGTGCCTTTCAGCGACTCCCCTGGTCAATCCCCTTTCGAGAACCGCTTCTATAAAGGGAATATAAATGAGTGTCTATAAAGCAAGGCTTCTTTAACCCACTGGGGTCTGTGGACATGTTTCGAGGGGTCCCTGTGCTGCATTTCCTTTGGAATTTTATTTGATGCATTAAAAAAACGTATCTTTAGATAGGTTTTGTGGCCTTCATCTGACTGGCAAAGGAGTCCTTTGACTTCATCTGACTGGCAAAGGAGTCCTTTGACTTCATCTGACTGGCAAAGGGGTCCTTTGACTTCATCTGACTGGCAAAGGAGTCATTTGACTTCATCTGACGGGCAAAGGGGTCTTTTGACTACATATGACTGGCAAAGGGGTCTTTTGACTTCATCAGACTGTAAAAGGGGTCCTTTGACTTAATCTGACGGGAAAAGGAGTACTTTGACTTTATCTGACTGGCAAAGGAGCCCTTTGACTTCATCTGACTGGCAAAGGAGTCCTTTGGCTTCTTCTGACTGGCAAAGGGGCCCCTTTAGTTCACATGCACGGTTGGCTAAGAGGGTACTTGACTTCATCTGACTGATAAAGGGGTCACTTGACTTTATCTTACCCGCAAAGAGGTTCCTTTGACTTCTTGGGGCTGGTAAAGGGGTCCCTTGACTTCAAAAAGGGGTCCCGTGACATAATTTGACTGGCAAAGTGGTCCATTGCCTACTCTGGTAACGTCACTGATATACCCTTGAATAAAGTTGTCATTGCGTGTTTTAAGATCCACGTTTTATTCACACTTACTTTTGTCAATTTGAAGAAAACAAAATAATTAAAAATATTTTATTCTGGAAACACCAACACCCCTGGCGCTTCATTTTCTATGTCGTGTGGGGCGGCATTTTCGCCCAGACAAAGTTTTTTCGTGGGTGGCGGCAAAGGTCTTGGACCGCCTCAGGCGACTCTAACCCTAGACACGCCCCTGTCTGGAAACACTAGCAGTCCTATAATTTTAACATATTTTTTTGTTTTTTTTTTTAATTACGTGGTGTCTGGGCTGAAAACTAAACAGCCTCGTTTTGAAAAGCTATTTTTAACCGAATGACTTGGTGTTAACAAAGATGAACTGTGTGAATGATTGGGACTTTCCCCGCCCCCCGCCCCCCCCCACATCACATGTGTATAAAAAAAAATCAATACACTACAAAGGTATTTTTAAAAAAATCACTTGGAACATACGATAAAGTTCACCAGGTCAAGGTTGAATGACGTCAACGTCTTGTTTGTTATGGAAAAATACTAAGCTGACTAACGTTCTTTGGTTCACTTTACAAAATTAGATGATGCAATTTTAACTTTAAAAAAAAAAAAATAATAAAAAAATAAATAAATAAATTAGAAAACTAAATCACGTGACTTTGCTTACATTAGCGTCTAGTGCAAGTGATAACGTTGGTTTTTTGTGACGTTAGCAACGGTGAACTATATTTTCGGAGAATTATGATAGATTTCTGGAAATATTTAAAAAAAAAAAAATAAACAAAGTTAATTTTAAGCTGATAAAATGACACACGTCATATATTTTTACAAATCGTAGAGCTTAAATAAATACAATATATAACATGTGTGTTTGTGTGAATAGTGAATGTGTTCTACTCTACAAATACGGTATAACTTAATACTATATTTATTATTCAGTTGTTTAGCCCACCCCTCCACCTTTCCCAAGCACACATGACTAACATCTATGTGTCCTTTCATTAATTTGTTGCATTGTAATAACTAATCTCAACCGAGTCGTCCCGTGACTTTTGGAGGACCCCTGTACATTTTTTTTCCTTGCTGTTTTTCTGTTTCATTTAAAAGAATTTACAATATTTTCCAATAAATTGTTTCCACCTTGCAGCATTTGTCCCCCTGAAATTTATGAGACTTTCTGAGGCCTTCCCCCCTCCCTGAGGCCTCAGTGGCTGCTACTCCCATGGCCTCTTCCTGAGGCCTCAGTGGCTGCTACTCCCATGCCCCCTCCATGAGGCCTCAGTGGCTGCTACTCCCATGCCACGGCTCTGTGTCAAGTATTACCAAAGCTCACGATTCGCGTATTATCATATCATCATAACTGTCATTGTCATTAGGACAAAAAAACACCTCCTTTGATTAAAACATCGGTCATGTCAATTATTGTAATTTTTTTGCAGCTTTTATACAGTTTATTTTAATGACATCGTATACAATCGCCATTAGCAGCATTACAAAATGCAATGTTAAAACATGTAATTGCCACCATTTTCCAGTTAATTAGCCTCGAAAAGAAGAAGCAGGTTCTCTCATTGAGATACTTGAACGGTATTTTGAAAGTTATAATTAGAACAAGCGCCACGTCAATTTTTTGTGCGTCATTTGTTTTTATGTTCCCAGGAAAAGTGCACATTTTGAATTTTCCCGATCAATCCTAAGGAGGTCAAGTTCAAGTTTCATCCCAAGGGTTTGTCAGAGTTACGTGGACTCGTGGCGGAAATCAAAATAGTGTCGGAAAATGTGTGACAGTGACACACAATTTATTAACTGTTTTCATGTTTCCTTTGAAGAAAAAAAAACAAGTTGACGTGATACGGAACTATCTAAAGGTTAAGAATGCAAGTGTTGATCATTGAATGAAATGCATTTGATTTTGATCAATTTTATTGTTCAATATACTGCAAATCTAGTAGTTGTGAGTGTGCTAGCTGAGAAAACCATTAGCGGTCGAAGACGGAGTTTGGAGACAAAGTGTTTGGTGAGAGGTTTTCTTCGTCTACCATTTCAAACCCGAGCAACATTTACAATATCACAAGTTGTTCTAGTGATCCATTCGATCGGTACGTTGTTACCTTGATTGGTCTGGTGGTTTCAACAACAGCAACAACAAAACACAGCAACAACTAAACAACAACCGTACGTCACACACCACACAATTCAACAACCCACCACACTTTTAAAATAACGCACAATTATCCACCCATATCAACCCATATCAACCCATATCAACCAATATCAACCCATATCAACCCATATCAACCCATAACCCATATCAACCCATATCAACCCATTTCAACTATCTTTAAACGTCATTCCGAAAAACCCACGCAACCAACAGACACTAACCATCAAGACCTAACCACAATTCACCAGTACATAACCACATTCCATCAACGCCAAACCACATTCCACCAACGCCAAACCACATTCCATCAACGCCGAACCACATTCCACCAAACCACATTCCACCAAACCACATTCCACCAAACCACATTCCACCAAACCACATTCCACCAAACCACATTCCACCAAACCACATTCCACCAAACCACATTCCAACAAACCACATTCCACCAAACCACATTCCACCAAACCACATCCCACCAAACCACATTCCACCAAACCACATTCCACCAACGCCGAACCACATTCCACCAACAACTATCCACATTCCGCCAACAACTCACCACATTCCACAATCCATTAATAAGGGTATTTCAAAAACAGGCATAGAGTCTATAGTAAACATGAAGCAACGCAATGGAGAAAAGTATAAACATATTTATTAAAACACTGTCAAAAAGATCATAAAATGTCCGTTGGTATCAGCCCGTCCAACATATGACAGTAATGGCGCACGTCTTGTGATGTTCAAAGTCAAGAGATGACAGATGACAGTAAGTACCAAGGACATAACCTTTCACGCTGCAGAAATCTACATCTGACATAAGATTATGTGACCTACTTAATCTCATCTCTACCATCATTGGAAGGTTTAAAAAAATAAAAGATTATTAAACGAAAGATAATCCAAACTCGATCAATTCTAAATAAAATACAAAGCTGGATTGAATCCATCAACTCATCTCTACATCCATTCAGGAACATATCAACCAATGGAGAGCATACCTTGCCTTTGTTTATTTTCATGTAAAGAAGAACATGTGTGCATCGTCAAATGCTCCCACATTCTTAAGCCGAAATACTGAATGACTTCTTAATGAAGCAATCATCTCTGGGACACTTATGATTTTCACTGACCAAAAGTCTTCAAATATTCTTACTCCAAGTTGAGTCAGAATGAAAATAATGTTCTCCCCCCCCCCCACTCTTAGTAATTACCACCCCTTTCTACTAACTAACATGGCGCCCCCTAATCACGCTTTCGGCCCATTTACAAAACACAAGTTCGCCAGCTCATTCAGAAGTGGCGCCCCTTATCTGCTCCAGTTCTTTCATTCCCGGGAAGTACCAGTAGGTTCCCTTGATGTTTTTGCTTAATTTCATGACGTCATCGTGCTCCCCGTCACACGAGGCACCCACCATCCGGTCGAGCAACGTGTCAAATGTTGATGGGTCCGCGGCGAATGCCAGGAAGAACATACCTAGAAGGATACAACAAAGATTGGTTAGTTGCAGTCATGCGACGGTGATGAGCTACAGCTGATGAGCTACAATTGATGAGCTACAGTTGATGAGCTACAGCTGATGAGCTACAATTGATGAGCTACAGCTGATGAGCTATAGCTGATGAGATACAGTTGATGAGCTACAGTTGATGAGCAACAGCTGATGAGCTACAGTTGATGAGCTACAGTTGATGAGCTACAGCTGATGAGCTACAGTTGATGAGCTACAGTTGATGAGCTACAGTTGATGAGCTACAGTTGATGAGCTACAGTTGATGAGCTACAGTTGATGAGCTACACTTGATGAGCTACAGTTGATGAGCTACAGTTGATGAGCTACAGTTGATGAGCTACAGGTGATGAGCTACAGGTGATGAGCAACAGTTGATTTCGATATTTTAAACTCAACTACCTTAGTTGTACCATAGTTTTACCAGAGCTGTACCAGAATTTTACCTTACTTCTACCATAGCTGTACTACCCCCTATAGCTTTATCATACTTCTGCCATAGATGTACCATAGTTGCATAAGATATTTTCATGTTTCTGGGCAACTCTGAATATCTCTATTCATTTGTCATTGAAGATTTGAACGAAATAAGGAATTCGACCACAGCGGCATCACGCGATGTTAATCTTGACCAGGATGGTCACCGTTCAAAAACATTTTCCTGGCCCTCCCAGTTTGAAATTCTGTTTCCGGTTTCAATTGCAACTTTAAAACTTTTTTTGTGGGTCCTGACGTTATACGTTAATCTTATACACACAGTGACGGATTAACCTAATAACCAATGAGGCACACCTGCCTGGGGCCAGACTTTTAGTGGCCCCACGACAAGGGATCGATTTTGTATTCGGGGGGGGGGGGGGGGTGGGGGCTGAATTCTTCTTGAACGTTCTTGTAATGACGTAAGACATGTCCATACATGACCACTTACAGAATGAGGTGGTAGTGGGGAAGTAACGGTAAGGAAACAACACGAGTCGTAAAACTCTCACCATTCTGCAGTAAAGGCGGATTCTAGGGGCAGCAGGGACTAACTGGCGCACTCATTCTGGTGAGGGTCTGAGATTACTCTCATGTGACCCCCGGCCAGTACGTTGGCCACCAGCTCCATCTGCTAAGCTGAGCCAAATATACCAGTCTCCTCAGGAAGGGCTCTCCTGCCGCCCAGAAACGGTGAGGGACATTCGGTCAACAGGTGCGCTCGGGTTTCTGGGACCAGGCTGCAATGCCCGCAGGAAGGGTCCCTGATATTATCTAGCCTGTTAAAATATGTGCCGGTGGGACAGAGCTCGGCAGCGGGGACGAAAAGGTACACAAGGCGTCCCCCCCCCCCCAGTGTTACGCCTTTACTTAAGCCACATAAAAAAAAAATTCAAAATATAAAATATGTGCCGGGGGGACAGAGCACGGCAGCGGGGACGAAAAGGTACACAAGGCCGCCCCCCCCCCCCCAGTGTTACGCCTTTACTTAAGTCACATAAAAAAAAAATTCAAAATGTGACACGCCGATGACTTACCGGCTTTGTCGGAGAACGTTCCGTAGCTCTGAGACTGACGGACAATTTCCACGATGGGCGTGGCTCCTTTCTCGGCACTTCCGTTCATCCTAGCCACGTGACTTGTGATAGTTTTGTTCTCCAACTCGGATCCACTGACCATCTCTCTGGTAAAAGAATCATGGTAGAAAGGAAAATTTTAAAAAACACTGTTCTTCAGCTCTTGTAACAATGTTTTAATATGATTCATTATGAACTTAATATTTAACATTTGCTTAAAAAAATATTTCTCTCTATTTGCCTCGTTCTAAATATTTTGGTGTTAAAAGTTCCTAACCCCCACTCCGTCTTATTTTTTTTTCCCCCCCCCCCCTTTTTTTTTTCCAGTGACAACCAATATGACATTAAGAAAATTTGAATAATTTGCAATTTTTTCTTTAGCTCGTAAAAAAGTGGGACGGGGCTGGGGGGTGCACTGGTATCTACAATAGAACACAAACGTGGTTCATTAAACATGCCTCCATTTGTATATAGTTTGGTCCAAGATAGTTTGGTCCAAGATAGTTTGGTCCAAGATAGTTTGGTCCAAGATAGTTTGGTCCAAGATAGTTTGTTGAAGATAGTTACAGTTTGGACCACTATAGTTTGTGTCACGATAGTGTGTTCCAGTAAGTGCCAACCAGAATGTGCCAACCAGTTAGTGCCAACCAGTAGGTGCCAAACCAGTTAGTTCCAACCAGTAGGTGCCAGCCAGTAGGTGCCAACCAGATAGTGCCAACCAGTAGGTACCAACCAGTTGGTGCCAACCAGTAGGTGCCAACCAGTAGGTGCCAACCAATTAGTGCCAACCAGTAGGTGCCAACCAATTAGTGCCAACCAGTAGGGACCAACCAGTAGGTGCCAACCAATTAGTGCCAACCAATAGGGACCAACCAGTAGGTGCCAACCAATTAGGGCTAACCACTAGGTGCCAACCAATTAGTGCCAACCAGTAGGTGCCAACCAGTTAGTGCCAACCAGTAGGTGCCAACAAGTTGGTGCCAACCAGTAGGTGCCAACCAGTAGCTCCCAACCAGTAGGTGCCAACAAGTAGGTGCCAACCAGTTAGTGGCAACCGTAGGTGCCAACCAGTTTGACCTTTGTGTTTCAAAATTTGAAATAAAATTGTCCAGGACAAGATGGCTTATTTTCATTTGATGGGGAAAAGCTGTTCCAGTTGAAGGTTTAGCGCCCTCGTGATCCAAAGCGCCCTCATGAACCAAGGCGCCCTCATGAACCAAGACGCCCTCCTGAACCAAGGCACCCTCATGAACCAAGATACCCTCATGAACCAAGACGGCCTCGAGATCCAAGGCACCCTCATGAACCAAGGCACCCTCGAGAGCCAAGGCACCATCATGAACCAAGACACCCTCATAAACCAAGACACTCTCATGAACCAAGACACCCTCATGAACCAAGACACCCTCATAAACCAAGACACTCTCATGAACCAAGACACCCTCATGAACAAAGGCATCCTCGAGAGCCAAGGCACCCTCATAAACCAAGGCGCCCTCATAAACCAAGGCATTCTCATGAACCAAGGCGCCCTCATAAACCAAGGCACCCTCATGAACCAAAGCGCCCTCATAAACCAAGGCGCCCTCATAAACCAAGGCACCCTCATAAACCAAGGCGCCCTCATAAACCAAGGCATCCTCGAGAGCCAAGGCACCCTCATGAACCAAAGCGCCCTCATAAACCAAGGCGCCCTCATAAACCAAGGCACCCTCATGAACCAAGGCGCCCTCATAAACCAAGGCACCCTCATGAACCAAGGCGCCCTCATGAACCAAAGCACCCTCATGGAGCAAGATAGTTTTACTTCAACTCTAAAAGTTAAAAACTCTTTTATATTATACCAAAAGTATGTATATAAACTTTTAACATTTTAAACATGTCTTTTTTTAAACAGTAAATGTTTGCCAAAACTACAACAAATTAAAACTATATCTCCACTCCTACACCTTGTCTGGCATCCAATGTTTTCTTACTCGTTTAGTCATCAAATTGTCTCACTACCTTAAACTACGTAATGCCTGGTCTCAACCGACAATGTATAGTTCCTTGGTCGCTATGTCAACATGCCACCACGCAGAACTCACTTGCTAATGTAAATTCCTTGGTCGCGATGTCAACATGCCACAATGCAGAGCTCACCTTCCAATGTATAGTTCCTTGGTCGCTATATCAACATGCCACCACGCAGACCTCACTTGCCTATGTATAGTTCCTTGGTCGCTGGGTCAACATTCAACTACACAGAACTCACCTACCAATCTATAGTTCCTAGGTCGCCGACTCAACATTTACCACACAGAACTCACCTGCCAATGTACTGCTCCAAAGTTGTTGGGTCATCGTCCACAATACAAAAGTCATGGACCCACTTTTGTGCCAAGGCGAAGCTGCCCCCCGTCTCACAGTCGACAGCCACTTCCTTCAGTCCCTCTTCCTTACAACGGTTGGTCTGGTTGTCCAGGAAGCCAGAAATGTCTCGGCCGTTTTTGTAGTCGAACCTGTTTGGAAATAGTTTATTGGCATTAAATTTGGCACTTACTGCAGCTGGTGGGCATTGAAAACTTATTGCAGCTGGAGGACATTGACAACTTACCGCAGCTAGGGAACATTGACAACTTGCCGCAGCTAGGGAACATTGACAACTTGCCGCAGCTAGGGAACATTGACAACTTGCCACATGTAGAGAACATTGACAACTTACCACAGCTAGAGAACATCAAGAGCAAACATGTATACATAAATATTCATATCTGTCAGATACCGACCTACTGTGAGATCAGGGTTCACGTAGTACCAGTTGGTGCATGACTTAAATTTCCATGGAGATGAAGTCGCTCATTTACTATAGATAATTCTAAAACATTGGAAGCGTTCATTTACATCATTCGGAGTAAACTGCGTTCTAAAATAAAAATGCAAATCAAGTACGAGCAATCAAGTACGAGCAATCAAATTCGAGCAATCAAGTTCGAGCAATCAAGTACGAGCAATCAAGTACGAGCAATCAAATTCGAGCAATCAAGTACGAGCAATCAAATTCGAGCAATCAAGTACGAGCAATCAAGTACGAGCAATAAGTAGGAGCTTAAAAGTTTTAAACTAAAAAAGCAATTTAGAACTTACCCGTAGACGTCTTCGAATTCCAAGATACTGCATTCTGGGAAGCCGTGCATGTAATGTTTGCAAAAGTCAAAGAGCTGCCCGTAGCTTTCACATTTGGCATGCACGAAAATGTCCCCATCGGAACAAGGCATCTCTCCGTTCTTCCCTTTCCTGTGTCTGTAGCAGAAGTTCTTGCACCCAGAGCCCATGACTTGCGCCCACAAATTAGGCCCAAATCCAACACCCGCAATAATGTCTTCGTTGGTGCCGCATGGGTTTTTGGAGGCTTCGATGGCTTCGTCCAGTCGGACCGCAGAGCACGCCACCGCACTTGGGTCGGCTCCAGGCTCTAACGTAATCCAGAGAAACAACGTGTGGGACTTCATCTGCGTTGTGATGTTGGCTTGATTATCGGAGCATTCTTTCTTCTTCTGCTGCTGCTGCTTGGCCCCGCACGGCTTGGGGACTTTTATTTTACACGGAGACTTCGGAGCATCGTCATTCCTCCCGGCTTTAACGACTAAATACTTTGATAATGTGTCCTTGTCCATTCCGTAATACATGGCTACTGAAACGCCGATTCCTATAGAAAACACTGTTGATTTTGGCCGTTGTGATAAAGAACGCAACGAATCTTTTACTTTTACCAGTATGGGGCTGCGAGCCATTGTTCTCAATATAAAGGCCATCTTGTTTCCTTTACCGTGTCAATATTTTCTTTTATAAAAATATATATTTATCTAGATAAGAAAGTTTTCAAAACGAAATCCGTGTTTTTCTTTCTGTGGTTATAGCAACATAATCACGCCTAAATGACGTATAGCGCTCTAGCGTTCATGACGATGTACGCCATGGGTACGAATGGGGTGTTAGAGAGTAGGCGCGTGGACACGTTCTACAATACAAAATACTTCTTAGAAATTGATTACACTCTCACGAGACAGTGTTTTGAAAATATTGTATAATGGTATTAATGTAATATATTTGCTGAAATTAGTTGAATATATTAGCCTAAAATAAAAACACTATATAATAAAGGACGAACACTGATGTCTCCAATACGTTTATCCTTAAAAAGTATTTCTGCCAAAAAGTTATAATCGCCCGAGTCAATTTTATATGAAAACTGGAAAATAATTATTTTAAAAAATGAAATGTAGATGGCCGTTAATTTAAGCAGAAGAGTTTAGGATTTGCATGCTCTATATTTGAAGTCCAGCTTATTGCTAGCTTTCTTACTTTTATTGCCCTATTTTTGAATTCTAACCGATTGTTGGCTTTCTTACATTCATTGATCTACATTTGAACTCTAGTGAAGTGCTATCTTTTTTAATTTCATTGTTCTATTTATGAACTCTAGCTATTAGTGCTGTCTTTCTTACATTCATTGTTCTGTTTATGAACTCTAGCTATTAGTGCTGTCTTTCTTACTTTCATTGTTCTATATTTGAACTCTAGCTATTAGTGCTGTCTTTCTTACTTTCATTGTTATATATTTGAACTCTAGCTATTAGCGCTGTCTTTCTTACTTTCATTGTTCTATATTTGAACTCTAGCTATTAGTGCTGTCTTTCTTACTTTCATTGTTCTATATTTGAACTCTAGCTATTAGTGCTGTCTTTCTTACTTTCATTGTTCTATATTTGAACTCTAGCTATTAGTGCTGTCTTTCTTACTTTCATTGTTCTATATTTGAACTCTAGCTATTAG